GCCTCTGTAGCAAAGTAATCTTATTTAATGGAAAAAGTCAGGTCAACCAAGTATGTTCAAAATACCAGTGTAACTTGCAAGGAATGTTGAATGAAAGTGCAAGGGATAGTTTGCATCTCCCATTAATGCCATTTCAGATTCTTCAAATCTAATTCATAGCTATGAGTTAAGAGTTTATCCAGGTCCTGAGGGAGCAGTTTCTGCAAGGCATATTGGAGAGCATACTACGACTTACATCTCTTCCTTTTTAGGCTCTGTTACCTGAAATGGACCAGTGAGAAGACAGCCGCTAGTACTTTCCTATTGCAAGGAAGATTGGTGCTCATTACAAAGAACAGGAAGGGGAAGAAGCTCTGCAGCTGATAGCAACATCTATGCTTCTGTCAGGGATGCAAGTCTCCTGTAGTGGAGTGAGGGACTCTCTTAATGTCTGTGTGTGGCAGGTTTGAAGAGCCTGCTGGAGTACTGCTTACTTATTAGCTAGTATCCTTTGGGAGGAAAGCAAATGAATATGAATGCACCATTTGAACAGCATTGAAGTTGGGAGGTCTTTGGAGGCAGTGTGAATTACTCAGACTGCTCAAAATGCTGTGTTGTGTTGGATTTCTGGAGGTTAGTGGCATTCTAGTTCGTTACTATGTTATGTGGACTTACTGGGGTTTAATGCTGTGCAGACACATCTGAGGCCCTTTCGCTTTATGCTGGATTTATCTCCAAACTGATGCAGTTTGGCAAGACTAACTTTAGTAGCTTTACTACTGATTTTTGGGTAATCATTGTGTGTCATAAATTTGTGTAGTCTTGGCAGATACAGATAGGTAAAGGACAACGTTGTAGGGTATGCATGCAGTAAAGAGAAAAGTTACATATACTTGAGCTGTAACTGGATTTGGCTTCCAGTAAGATTTCAGTCTAGTAACTTAAAATTGTAGAACACAGAACTATGTGAGCGACTGGCACTAATTATTTTGGAGGTGAAGAGGGAAAGATTAGAAAAAGAGGCAAGAGGAGAAGGGAATAGCGTGATTGGTTTTATATATAGCACCTCTGGTTTTAAAAGAAAATGTGAAATTTCTGAATGTCCAAAGACATGATGCTGTTCTTACTTCAATGCTTCCGGTTTTCTTATGCTGTGTTTGCAACTGTGCCCTTTGGAACTCTAGTCACAGATTGCAGAACAATGAATTGATAATTGCATGGGTTAGGTATCTTTAAGCATCTTTTTTACTTGTCTTGCAGTTAGCATGATAGGAAGCTAGAAACGCCCAGTAACTTCTTGATGGATCACTTCATTTTAAATATTCTTTACATTTACATAATTAGCTTAAGTACCAAGCTAATGAATAATGCTTGGTAATCATTTGTACTGAGCAGTCCCACTTTTCATGCCTGGTTCAGTTTTGTAACCAGAATGTGATGTCTTACGCACAATACACAAATAATGATACTAAGTAGTACAAAAAGTAAACCGTGAATTTAAAAGAAAACCCTACATCAAAGCATTAAGATTTTTAGTGTTTTGCATTCTCTGTCTTTATGCTGTAGCTATGAACGTGCTAAAGTTCATAACTTTGGCACAGAGTAGTGTAATAATTCATCAGGCCACTTACAGAACATCAGGATTTTTAAGTGTACATAAAGCCTGTCTATAACTTCACTGTGTTGTGGCTTGTGTTTCCACACCAGATACAGAGGTCTTCTGGGGGAGCAGGAGTTCAACATGCTTTGTGTAAATCAGAGAATAAGAAAAAAAGACTCAGTGTTTCAATCTCCTTGTGGCCTTCCACATTGGTATTGCTGCACTGTGCAGGACTTTGAAAGCAACTGTATTAACAAAGCATACAGCAGAAAATAACCCCAAAAATAGCAGAATAAAAAAAAGAGGACATAAAAAAAACAAGGCAGCAATTCATGACCAGATAGGTCAGCCCTGGAGCATTGTAGTCAGTATATGTGAAGGCATTAAAAACAAAGATCATCTAAGCTGCCTTCTATCATCAAGTCTTTATGTGGCCACCATTTAATTTTATCTAGTTAAGTATCTTTATTGCTTGGTGTTAAAGTTATTATATAATGATGGAAGAAATGGTATACCTTGAAAAATAAATGTTTTCCTCTTGGGGCTGGGCTTACATAAAGGTGAAGTGATCCCACAATAAGTCAGTAACAAGAAATGGCAGGTTTTATGTGGCAGGCACACTGACCATTGTTTTCCAGCACTTCTAAGCAAGGATTAACATCTGGTTTGGTTCCTGCTCCATTGTTGTAAGCATGCCTATTTTAAAGTGCACCCAGTTCTCCACCAGGGAAGTTGGTAAACCAGGAAGTGGTACAGTGACAAATGGTTGTAACTATGCAAAATCTGGTAGTATATTCAATGCAGAACAGCAGAGTTGGGTTCCTTGTTGATCTGAAGTGAGGGTGATTGAAATGGGTTGCCTGAGGAGGCTGTGGAATCTCCATCCTTGGCGATGTCCAAGACTAACTGGATGTGGTCCTGTGCAACCTGATCGAACTGGACATGCTTTGAGCTGGGGTTGTGCTCAATGGCCTCTGGAGGTTCCTTCTAACGTGAAATATTATTTGATGTTGTGAATGAGCATTGTGCCAGGCTTCCCACAGAATCAAGTACATGTCTTCCTGCTGGCTATGCCCATGGAGTATGTCACCCCCCACAAGGGAATTTCTGCCTTGCCAGTGGAAGGCAAGCTCCTTTCAGTGTTGTCTTTGTTCCACAAACTCACAAATTACCGGTTTTATTCTTGAAACTTTAACATCTGCATGATTAGTACATTTCCTAGACACAAGAGGCTTTTGTTTCTATGAACTTCTAGATTTGTAATGTGAGAAAAACTGCATGTGACTGCTCAGTGAAAGCATATGCTTTTGTTTCCCATTGCTTCTGTTCTGTTGCACTGAGAGTGGCTGAGGCTTGCTTGAAGTCTAGAAAATAACTGTAAAAACAAAAGTTGGGAATGGAGAGTATGTTTGTGCTTGTCCTTTTCTAGCTGTTGCAATATAAAATCTGCTTATTTGGCAGATGAAATGGAAGGTGGTCCCCTTCACACACACTAATTGCCAGTGCTCTAAACCTCATAGGAATTTCCGTTTTCTTTGGCTCACATCATCCTCAGCAGCAGACGTTTTGTAACTGTAATTTAGTTCAAGATTTGTCATATCTGTGAGCCAGAACAACACTTCCCTTGTTCTACATTCTTGTTTGTGTAGTTCAGATAGTAGTAGGGAATAGTAACAATTTATGTTGATCAGAATTCACTCAGTGTGTGTATGACTGACATGTAAATTACATCTTCTCAGTAGCTTGTGGGAGTCTAGCAGGATGCTCAGATCCTGCAGTATGAGATGCCATGTGTGGAGTACAAGATGTGTTGAGATTGCAGTGTCTTTGAGGGAGGGGCCTTTCTTAATACCTTGCTAGAAGGTCATGGTCAGAAATGCATCCATAAACTTCAACAAGTATAAACTATTTTTCTTTGTAAGGCACAGACCTAACCATATTGGTAAGGATTTGAAACTGAATTGATGGGTATATTTCTGTTGGCAGGTTATTAGTAGATGTCACAATCAAGCTGAATTTATGAGTATACTAAGAACGCTATTTTTCTAAGATGATACCAAACACGTTTCTCCGAGTATATGGTAACTTGAGTCAATTTTATTATGCATAACTGCTGTATTATAGGAGGTAGATAATTTCCTTATTGCACTGTGTCATGCCATATTAACTTCCTCCCTTTCATTGAGAAATCTATGATAATCTTAGGAATTTGGGTGGGGTTTTGTTGGTTTTGCTTGGTTGTTTTTTTTTTTTTTGAGATTAAACATAAAGTACATCTCTTTTTTGGTGGGATAGGAAAGATAAAGGAGGCAACATAAATGTAATAAAATATTCTTTTTTTTTATTATTATTTTTTTTTTCAGACACCTGCAGCAAACACTCCAGAGTTTTCAGCTTCCTTTATGCTTAATTTCTGTAGGCTAGAACTTGCTGGACTTTGGTCTTTTGAGGACTTACACTAATTATAAAGGATTGAACAAAATAATTAAAACCAGATTTTGCAGATTACAACAGCCATGCAAATCTTGCTTATTCAGAAACTACTGTTGCACAAGGCAGTCTGCAGAATTGAAGTTTTGAAGAATTTTTGGCATATGCTTTACATGTACCCTGAAGTACTCTGAAACTTACTGCAAGTTAAGGAAGAGATTGTGCTATCAGTTTGGTCTCCTGTCCATCTTGTACAAAGTGCTGCTCCTATAGGATTTCACACTTTGGGGGAAACCATGGGGACTGATGCCCATATCAAAGGATGAGGCATAAGTTCCCCTTAAATCTTGTGTTCTGGAGCAGGGTTTTTGGGTGGATTTCCCTGACTGCTTCCTGCCCATCCTGTCAGAGGAGACAGCAGTGCTGTGGAAGCACAAGATGGGGTGAAAGCAGTGATCTATGGGCCTTTCCTCTCCTCTGCCCCACTGTGCTCTCTGCAACCCTTGCTGTGGCATGAAGCCTGAGCTCATAAATCCTGCAGAGCTTGTTAGCCTGGGCTTCATGCTTCTCAGGGTTTTGCCTTTGGAGACAAGCCTCAGCAATTACAGGCTGACACTTGGAGGGGGCTGCTGCAACTTCCCTTTATTAAAAACTATGTTTTCACACACAAAGATGTCTTTGATACTTGTAGGTGTAACTTGCCAGTGCTGCTAAGAAACTTCAAAATCTGAGTAGGAAAGCTATGTAAATAAAAGAGAAAACACTCAGCAGCAAAGACAGATTTAAGAAATCATTATTTATGAAAATACTGAGTGTGTTAAACTCCAAAACCAAAATATATCTCTTAAGCATATGCTTATGTGTTTTCCTGGTTTGACTCCCTAAGTGACCAATATGAAGCTTTCCTTAAAACTAGGGCAGTGTCATGCTGCTGTTGCTTTGTGACCTGCTGTAACTTGGAAAAGTCAAATGTTGAATTTTCTCTCAACAGAAAATTTTTAAAGCTGGAGATACAAACCAGGATGGACAGCTAGATTTCGAAGAATTTATGCAGTATCTTAAAGATCATGAGAAGAAGATGAAACTGGCATTTAAGAGCCTGGACAAAAACAATGATGGTATGCCTTGATTTATTTGTTCAAACATTGTGTGAAAAAGCTCTGCATTAAAAGTTATCTTCATTTATATTCTTTGTCTAAACCAGAGACAAAAAATTGTGAATATGGAACCTCTACTTCTTTTCCTTAAAAAGATCATAATAATAGTTTACTATAGATAGAAATAGTAAACTATTGTAGTCTTTTTTTCCTTGTTATTATTTTCGAGGTCCGTTGATTTGGGACTCTTTGTTCCCCAGATGGAGAAACTGTATGGAAGTTTCTAAGTATCTATTAAAGATTAACTACTTTTTAACTCAATGGATGTTTGCATCTCATTTGATTGCATGATTTTAATGTACTTATCTTCACTCAGTCCTTGTAGTAGACAATCAAAATACATAATTTGTGTTTAAATTGATTTTAAATGATCTTTGCTGTTGTGTAGGTGTTACAAGAAAACTTAGTGAGCTCCAAGGTGCAAAGTGTATTAAGCTCCATGTTTTAAACATGTATCATCTTTCTTTTTATTTTTCAAGGAAAAATTGAAGCATCAGAAATTGTCCAGTCTCTCAAGATACTGGGTATAAACATTTCAGAAAAACAGGCAGAAAAGATCCTGCAAAGGTCAGGAATTATTATATTTTTAAGATTTGAAGCTTCTTTGTGATATTAATTATTATATTTTTATAATTCAGAGAACAGGATAAATGGGATTGTAATTTTGAAAAGCATTGGTACCTTCAGTGGTGCCTTTAAAGAAATTCTTATATGCTTCATCTCTTCTTGGGTGATAGTAAGTCTAGTTGATATTTGAGCATCTTGTTCTGGGAGGAGAATGTTACTTTGTTTCCTTGTAAATGTTGTTGATAGAACAAAGTGTTGTGTTTAAATGGAATATGCCAGATGCCCTTGGATAAGAAAAGCATGGTATGGGAAGGCCATGGTAGATTCAGCCTTGACGTCTTCGTATGGAATTTATAGTCAGTTGTCACTGATGCGATGGCCAGTATTAAATAAAAAAGAAAGGAGCTGGGGGGAAGTCAACAAAACAGAGCAAAACTCCATCCCTATTACTATTTCCTTAACAGTTCTGTTTAATTTCTTTCTAGTATTGATGCTGACGGGACAATGACAGTAGACTGGAATGAGTGGAGAGATCATTTTATGTTTAACCCAGCTACAGACATTGAGGAAATAATTCGATACTGGAAACATTCCACTGTAAGTTCAACTTTCCTTTTAACTTAGTGCAGCTCTGCTGTGTAAATTTGCAATATTGAGTATAACAGCTTCACAGTTGTTACATTTTAAGCATACATGTATTTAAGATTGTTTTGATTTCCTTTTGTCTTCATGCTCTCCCATTTACAAGCACAATAGTGTCATGAGAGGTTCTTCTGAACAATGAATTTAATCTAAACTTTGCCAGTAACCATCAGTAATTCTTAGGAAGGAATCCTTTTTTTCCCTTGGCAGATATTTAGCAGAAAGATCAAAATCACAATATTAAATAATTTTCTTTTCACAGTACAATACATTGTTATGTTCAGCACTTTTCATGTGTTGAAACAAATTATAGAAACATTTTAAGTGTTTCTTATGTTGAAATTAGTTAAGTAGTTGCATTTATATAGTAACATTATTACTATCTTAAAATCACTGGTGTCATTGGTGATTTTCCCTGCACATGTTCTCACATTCTTTTGTGCTGTAGAGTTTCATTTAAGAATGACAGAATATACAGCAACAGGTTATCCACTGAACAGATAATTTTTTTTTAAGTTGCTATTGAATGGAGCTCTGGCCACCTCAGTGACAGGCTTTTTAGAACAAATAATAGGGTAAGTAAACTAACAGTAATCCTGTTTGCTGAGGAATTATTGGAGTAATCCATATAGTTAGGTAAAGACAGATTCCTTTCAATATAAGTAAGACCATTTATATCTTCAGGTATTAGTAATAAAAAAACTGTTCGAGATCTGAAAACTTTGAGTGTTTCACACTTCAGCCTCTGTTCAGAAATGCTTGCTGGAAGAGAGTTTGCTCCCTGTTTGCTGATGAAAACAGTTGAAGCACTGCTATGAGATCAAATAGTCCTAGTGCCAGTTTACTTAGTGGAAAACACCCTTTTGCTTTAATAAAATGTTTCATATTAATATTATTTAACATAAGAGGTTTTCTTTTCTTTTCTTTTTTTTTTTTTTTTTTTGTGTGAATTATGGAATGTCATTAGTTACTCCCACGAAACAATTTTAGAAGTCTCTTGTGACCTGACTGTGTGGCAGTCAGCTGATGACCCAGTTATCTCAGCAAGCAAAATCCAGCTTTATGGCAGCACAGCTGGTCTTTCAGATAAGAGCAGATGTGAGACCTCACATGTCTGGCTGGCATTGACAGCTCTTCCAATGCTGTTTTTATTGTAAAACTTTAATTGCTGTCAGACTCTTCCAAGCACATAACTGCATTGGGATAGAATTAATGTGAATTGATAGCCTTCTGTTATAAACACCCTAAAATTTAGCTTTTTTTCTTAATTGTGTTCAGGGCTTGGTAGACACAAGGTTTAAACCCTGGTAGATATGCATAACATCTCTAAGAACACTGAATTAATATTTTAAGGGTTCTGATTGACCTTTTGATGATTCTATGTAGTTGAGCAACTGATGACACCTTACTTGGAAACCGTGAATGTCAGAAAGATGAAATAATTTTCCAAATAATCTATGTTCAGTATCCAAAATAGTTAGTGCTTATCCTGCTTGTCCAGTGGCTATATCTATAATCTGTATCCTGCAATTCTTGTGTTCCAAATGATCAAAACAGTATTCTGCTTACTTAACAGATTGGGAATGCAGCATAAGTTAGGAATGTGGTGTCAACAATTAAAATCAACAGTTGTTAAAAAATTTATCAGTTAACATGCTTTCTGGTCAGTACTTATCAGTTATGAAAACGTTCTTGCTTCTTTATAGGTTAAATTTATGCATAATACTGGTTTTGCATTATCTACAGTGTATTTTTTCCTCATATATCGTGATTATAAATTGCATGAAGAGCAGCGACTATGTTTAAGTGATACGTGAGATTCCATAGTTCTGTGTCTTGGACAGCCTTATTGCTAATGCCTACAGTAGTATTTTTCGATCAAATTGTATGGTAATACGAACATGCACCTCTTAATGAACCTGCAAACTTTTACAGTTGAAAAACATCATTCGTGTGCCTTTCAGTGTAACTGAGGATAAAACAATGTATAAAACATTAGTCAAACTTGTAGTTTTGTAAGGTAATACACAGAAGTTACCAGAAATAGAATATTCCAATACATCAGCTATAAAAAGGCTACTTTAAAATGGTGGTGGGGGTGGCAAGATCCCACATATGTGTGAATAAATTACCATGAGAGAGAAATCTCTTGTTAGCATCCTTAGGAGATTACTAAACTAATCCTAGAAGGCTGTCCGGTGAAAGGTTATCGACAGCATATAAGTATTCAAGCTTTAGTGCTGACTGTGAAGGTCTACTGATCATGAGAGAATGTCGTTTGGGCCACGGTCGAGGAGGGAATTCAACATAATCTTTAATGATGATGGTGCAGTCTTTGAAATGGTGGGTCTGTGGTGGTATTGCTCAGTATCTATGTAGAAGTCATTAGAAGTTGCTATTCATTGAATAGCAATGGCAATCCATAGCAAGTTAATTATAGAATGTACACTAGAGATATTTTTTTTATTTTTCACTAGCATTTTATTTACATGTTCTCAGGTGGTAGGTTAATTTGGAATTAGAGCTCTTGGTAAAATTTGAGGTGATGGAATGAGAAAATTATTTGCACATCTTTCCTTTGGATTCTAATAGGTGTTGGATATAGGAGATAGTTTGACTGTTCCAGATGAGTTCACGGAGGAAGAGAAAAAGACTGGACAGTGGTGGAAACAGCTGTTGGCAGGAGGAGTGGCTGGTGCTGTCTCTAGAACAGGCACAGCACCATTAGATCGCCTTAAAGTAATGATGCAGGTAGGTGCAATGTCCAAGAACTTTTTAGTTGCCAGTATCAATTCAGTTTTGAGAGAGCTGTTATGGAAAACTGATAGCCAAATACAATATCAAAATTCTGTAAGCCTAGTTATGTTTTGACATTTTCCATATTTTATTCATAAAAAATTTTTTCCACTGTCATATTGGCAAAATTGTAATCAAATATTATAGTACTTGTGCCACTAAAATAAGATTTTTTTTTTTTGGTACTGGTTGTGTTTTTTGCTAGTTGATATATTTAAACAATATAATACTCAGGTGATGAGTTTTACAACCTAATCAGAGTAGTGTTCTTTACTATGACTTTGTGTTTTTTACTTTTAGGTTCATGGTTCAAAATCAAACAAAATGAATATAGCCAACGGTTTTAAGCAAATGTTGAAAGAAGGTGGTATCCGATCCCTCTGGAGGGGAAACGGTGTAAATGTTGTGAAAATAGCTCCTGAAACAGCTATTAAGTTCTGGGCTTATGAACAGGTAGGATTATAAATCGGGAATGAAAATGAGATTATATCACTCTCACTGTCCATTAGTTGCCCTTCTGTATTATATAGGAGTTCTTAGCATGGTTGTGGATTTTGTCGAAGTAATTTTAGAGTGACTTTCACATTTTAAAATAGTCTAATAGAATAGAATAATTGATAGAATTAATAGAATTACTAGAATATTGGATATTAGACAGATTTTGCTACTGTATTATAAGTGGTGTCTGTCATACATTTTAAACTGTTCTCCAGGCTGCATGGCTTTATGTGGAGTAAAGATCGAGTTTGTTGCTTTGAAGTGACAACAACCGAAAATTTAGCACATTATGCTAGCTGAACTTATAGAGGATTCTTTTTGAGTCAAATATAATGGCGCTATGTAAGATGCTTTCATCCTGGATTTCAGAGTTATATTTACCTCTGAATCAGCTTTAAGCATCATGTTAAGGCCTAATCCTCCTTTGGAAAATGAACTCTCATTCTCATGTAGTTAAATGAGCTTTATTTTTTTTCTCTGTGGGGCTTGCTAGTGCATCAGGTAAGACAAAATGAGCATATTGAACGTCTGTGTACAACTGTGAAATAAAAGCAACAAAACATTAAGTAAACTTTGGTACATTGCAAGACAACAGCAGCTTTTGAAATGCACATTTTACCTTACTCTTGCTTTGCTTTTTGGGGGCTGGTGGGGCATTCTTGTATGGTGGTGTCTCTGTCTTGGATGACACAGTATGTACAGCTCTCTGCCTCTGTGAACATGCTAGTTCGTCTTTCGTTCTTTGATTGGAGAGCTGGATCTGCAAGGGAGTTGGGTTCCACTTTGTTATCTAGAAGCCATAGCGTGAGTACCCTTATGATGGGTCTTTGGAATACCCGACAGTACTGTGTGTGGCAGAGGTGTTTAATGTAGAGGATTTTTGCAGGCTGGAATATTTTCTCTATTCTTGAGAATCTTTGTCCACAGGGTTGCAGTAAGCATAGCACTGAATTTGTTGGGTTTGTAAACATAACTGTAAAAAAGTAATTACAGCTTGAAAAGACATTTTGTACTGTACTCCTGCCACTTGTAGTAACTCTTGTCTCTCCTAAAAAGCATGTGATGTTTATTTTATGTGTTTTAACAACAGTATAAGAAGATACTTACTAAGGATGATGGAAATTTAGGCACTATAGAAAGATTTGTATCCGGTTCTTTGGCTGGAGCAACAGCACAAACTTCTATTTATCCCATGGAGGTAAGTAATAGAAAGTCTGCTTCCATTGGAGACTTTGCCAAATATCTGGTTCATTTCCAAGATAAAACCTATTTTGCTCTTGAAAATATTGTAGTAATTCCTCTGTATTCTTAGATCCTAATTTATTTTTACTTTGGACTTCCTTTTAGAATTTCAGTACCAGGCATTTTAGAATATACTATGTTCTATTTGATAAATGCCATTTTTCTATGTATTTGGCTGTATAATATCGTCTAAAGCAAGGTTTAAGTAAAACCTTAGCGCAGGGAAAAATAAAATTCAGTACATGTTCTAATGTTTTCTAAATTGGGCATTATTCTTCTTTCCACTGTATGTAAGCAAGTAATAGACTTGTGTGTTTCTGAACTGGTGAAGTTATGCTTCATTACGACTGGGAGCTGCGTCTGATAGGGAGATTAGTGTGGAAGGAGAATATGATGGCTACATTTGAGGCTGGGTGGATAAGCTGCTGTTTGTGGTACATATTTGTATGTGGTACTACACATGTTGCAATTTAACTAGTGTTAATATGTTAACTGCTAGAGGGTAGCTATTTAATATCCTGATTTTAATTTATTTTATTTTATTTTTTAATAGAAGTAGGACGTACTTCCATTACTGGTGGTCCCCCAGAAAGTTTATCTTGTGTAAATAACTGAAATATATATTGTGTCTGGGATCAAACAAGTACTAACATCAAGATTTGAAAGCAATGGAAAATGTAACCTAAATAGCTTTTTTATAGGGAGAAGTGTCAAGAGGAATAGAATTCAGCTGTTTTCATTGCTGGCAGTAATAATCTCTTTTTAAATAGCATCCTTGCTGTTAGAGCCACTGAATCACAGCTAGCCTGAGTACAGAGATGGGTTAAGTTATAGAATATCTGAAATGTTATGTAGATAATCTGGATTACACTGATCAATGGAGACAGGTGAACTATTCTGCAGTAAGATGCTTGATCTTCCTAACAAAGGTATAATACTGTTCTAGAATTGGGTTTTTTTAAGGGTGTTTCTAAGTAAAAGAAAAGCAAAGGGCCAGGAAACTCCTGAGGAAGCTACATTCTTAGGAGGCTTTAAAGTAGGCCACATTCTGCTCTGGAAATTTCTTTTGTGGTTTCTTTTGGATACTGTTATTAATTTTTTTTTTATTTTTTGTCCTAAGATGCTGTATAGACTTATCTCCATTATTAATCAGATGTTGTGTTTCAGTAGTAAGACACAATCCTTATACCTTTTAACTACCTCTGTGCTATGCTTTTTGAAAGATTATTTTCCTAATATGCTTTGCTTTTCCCAGATCAGAAGTGTTATCTGCTAGTATGTTAATGCTTTCACTTGTTCTTCAGCTAATGCTTCTATTAAATATTGCTTGCACTGCTGCCTTCAAGTTTATAAAAAAAATATGCCTGTTTTAATCAAGGAAAGAAAGCTAAAACGAAATTCAAAAAGCCTAATAATTTCTAAGATGGCATATGGTAGTATGTGTGCTACTCTGCACTAAGGAGAAAGCTGAAGAAGCCTACAGCTAACCATGCACAAAGGAGATTTTAAGTACCAAAATGCAAAGCAGGTCCAGACAATTGAAAGAGCAGAGAAATACTGTGTTTTCCTGTGTTGATAAAATACATTCATAAATATGTGTGTAATTAAGACAACTGTTATTTCTTTTTTAGGTTTTAAAGACCAGATTGGCGGTGGGTAAAACAGGGCAATATTCTGGGATGTTTGACTGTGCTAAGAAGATCTTGAAAAGAGAAGGTGTAAAGGCCTTCTACAAAGGCTATATTCCTAATATTCTGGGTATAATTCCTTATGCTGGCATTGACCTTGCTGTTTATGAGGTGAGTTTAGATCACTGAATGCATGTAGCTTTCATTAGTTAATTTACGGAAAGGTTAAATATCCTTCAGAATACTGTATCATTAGTTAGATTTATAATATGCTTGTGATATTAAAGTTGCCTTCAATTTAAAATACACAAATGAATTTCCCCTAGTCTAGACTGTAAAGTTTATCTTTGCCCTTTTTGGAGGAGTGGCTGTGCCAATGGGCCCTTACATGCAACAGTACCAAAAAAGAAATCTACTCATAAGGCAGGATTGTATAGACCTTGGCAATGCAACATGCTTGCATACTCAACTAAGCCTGTTGGACTTTAACATACCTGTTCTATTGCAAATATGGGCCTTAAAATCCTGATATGATATCATGTTACCTATCCAGCATTTATGATACTTAATAATTTTTTTTTGTCGTTTAGTCCGATTTTTAATGGATTATAGTGACCTGAATTCCTTGTGTGTCTCTGCATGTCACCAGAATTCTTTGTGACTGACATACAGTTGGTCTTAGGAGTTTGAAACACCATTGTCTTTCCCTTTCAGAGGAACTGACACCTTTTCCACCCATCAGCAATAATTAAAATGTTTTATCTACTTTGCCTGCTAGATGTTGCTTCAGAGTGTGTTAAGTAACTCGGGTGCACGCACTGGTTTTTTTCCTACTACAGCAGTAACCAGCAGAATTGCTTAAGCAAACATTTTCAAAGCAGAATGGAAGGTCTTTACTACAGTTTGCATCCTTGCTTCTGCATGGGGTGATGTGCACAGCTGTGAGAGGTTTTGTGGGATACTGAGTTGTGTTTCCCCTCTCCAAAGTATTAACAGGTCTCCTGCTGCTATATCTCTTAAGGATTTCTTTTCTAGGCACTAACTACTACAGTCTGGTGAAAGTCCTTGCCCGTGTGCTAAGGTGTTTACTTGTGCACTTTAAAAGTTAGCATGTAGCAAGATTGGTGCTTCTCAGGATTGATCCCCTAAGTTTTGTTATGAATAAAGATGTATTTGTTTACTTTCTTGAATGCTGATCTCTTGTCTTAGTATTTAAATTTATATCTTGGCAGCTCTTAAAGAGTACGTGGCTAGAACACTATGCATCAAGCTCCGCTAACCCAGGTGTTTTTGTACTGTTGGGATGTGGTACTGTTTCCAGCACATGCGGGCAGTTAGCCAGTTACCCTCTTGCTCTCATCAGAACACGCATGCAGGCTCAAGGTGAGTCCTGTTGTACTGAAAATATTTCTGTGTGGTCGCATCAGAATTAGATCATTTGGAATAGCTGTAGCAGAGACATGGGAAAAAGAAAACCCATCCTGGAAAATCAAGGATTTATCTGGAAAATCCTTCTTAACATTGGTCCCTTCTTCCTTTTATCCCCAGCATTGTTCTTCATCATACTTGATTCAGATGTAACATTTCAGACACTGGCGGTCTATGTGCTCTGAGTACCACGTTCCATACAAGACTACTATGCATAGAGCTCCTGTCATAGTCTGGGAACACTTTCCTAAAATCTAAAATGTTTTCATTTTATCTCTTAAAATTTAGGAAGAGACTTGAGTCATCCTGTGAAGGTAGACAACCATGTTTGCTCTGGAGGACATTTCAAATAGAGAGTTTCATAGCTGAGTTTTTGCTTAATATATTTGTGCACAGACTTAAGGATAGGAGCCTGGATTTCCAAAGGAATGTAGGTGGATAATGCTTTTCAGTGGGATGTACACATGTGGGTATCTCTCAAATGTCTAGGATTAAAGAGATGTCCCCCTCTGTGAGGACTCAATTTTTAATCAGTGGCCCTAGAGGTGGTAGTAGGCTCACTACCCAGGTGTTTGATACTTGATTAAGAATGTTAATGTTACCAGAACTGTTGTGTAATGCATTATGTTTTTATTCTAGCCTCTGTGGAAGGAGCGCCACAACTAAACATGGTCGGTCTATTTCAAAGAATTATTGCTACAGAGGGAATCAGAGGACTTTACAGGGGCATAGCCCCTAATTTTATGAAAGTGCTTCCAGCTGTCAGCATCAGCTATGTTGTATATGAAAAAATGAAGCAGAATTTGGGAATAGCATGAAATGAAGGAAAAAGGTGAGATGCTTCTAATGTTGCTGGAAACACCAGAACAAAAATGATTTCTCAAGTAATCTGCTCTCATAATTGGAGACAGATCTTTGTGGAGAGATGCTGCAACTTCTACTTTTGCCCTGAACTGGGAAGAAACTTTATTAAATTCTAATTCACCGTTTTTAAACAGATATCTATATTGCACTTTAAATGTCACTGAGTTAAAAAAAAATCAAGAAACTATCTTTAAATCAGCAATTTGTTTATATTTTCAAGAAATTGTATGTATTTTACTCATTGGCTTTTTTTTTTTTTTGTATTTTTCTCCTCTAAATGTGTATTTGGCTTGGATCAAACCAAAGGTAGGAGAAGATTATACTGCCTTGATACTGAATATATGAAGGTGACTTTTTGTTTTGTCACGCTGCCTATACTTAAGCAATTCACAGGCAACATTTTGCATGCCTAAAAGTAAGCACTTACTATTGTTATTTTTGAAGACTTAATGTTAAGTTTGTAAGAAACAGCATCTTGAATACAGATAAGGATAGAATAACACATTAAAATATAGCCCATCACCTTTATCATCAGGCAAGCTTTTTGGGGTTTTTTAAATGTTTTATTTAGAGAACAAGAGCCTGAGAAACTGCTGTTCCATGGTATCGGAATACCTCAAATGGATTTACACGGTATTTTTAGAGTACAGCCAGTGATTTTCATGATTTGCTTTGCTGGACCTGCTTTTCATTGCACTTGTAAATGTTAGCACCATTAACCATGCCAAGCTTTGGATTACAGCTGCACATTTTATAGGATCATCATATACAGGAACAGGAAAAGCTTGGTTACTAGATCCATTCCATACAAGTGCAAGTTGCCATTTAAAAATGGAGTGGAGGATCCCATATTAAGCTGATAGTGATCATAGTGCAGTTCATAGTGGAGCTAATTGTGGCTGCCCTGGGGAGAGAAATGCTTCTCATTTTGGACTCTCCGTTCTTTCCCTTACTCAGAGGGCTACTGTTCACTATGTGCTTTTAGCCACTAGAGGATTGCATTATTATGTAAAGATTTTACAGGTTTGTCATGCAAGAGAAATCCTTTTTCCCTCACAGTCTTCTGTGCATGCTGTGGCTGTGTGTGTGAAATTTGGGTAGTAAAATAATGAAGCATTTTGTCAAAGTGACCAAATGGGGCTGCTGATCTCAGGTGCCCATCAGATTGATGTTAATGAAACGAGCAAAGCAGGCACACAGAACTAGTTAGTGCTTGAGAAACAGCTCCTCAAAAAAACAAAGCAGCACTTCATCAATGCAGAACATTAGGTTTTCCTATGTACTTCCTTTGGGGGTGGGGTGGGCACATTTCAGTTGTCTTCAGGCCTGAACACTGAAAGAGAGCAACAATTATTGCCAAACTCATTTGTTATACTTTTCCTGCTTTCTGCAATGTGTGGTGTCTTAATCTTTGTAAATTCAAGATTATCTTTATACTTACTTTGACCTTCTAAAAGCAGCTGCCCTTAGACCACATCTGTGAAATTGGATTACTGAAGGGAGAACTTTGTTCCTGTAAGGTGATTAAGGGATCCCCTCCACCCCCCTTTTTTTGTAATTAAACAACCAAATAAGCAAGCAAACATAACTAACTGCCTGAACCTCTCTTGTTACACATGCTATTTGGGTCGGAGTTTTTGAACAGCAATCAGGTGTTAATATGTGTTTAATGCTTCCATGGCTGGTATTTATTCACCGTAAACTGATATATAATAACTCCAGAAAATTTGTACTCTAAAATGTTGTTTTATCAGATTTCAGAAAACGGCAGCTTTAGCTGTGCCTTTTGGCCTTCCCTTTAGGGGAACCTTGGACTTTGCACTTCTTTAAAAACAAAACAAAAGGTCATTCTATCCAAATCATCCATGTGTACAATGCCTTTGTGACCTGAATGTTTCTTGGTTTTGCCAACATTCTTGTATCTTTGTGGGATTTGTGAGCTCAGTTCCCAATCCATTTTGTTTGACTGTGACCAATGAGCAAATGTATTGTGTGTGTGTGATGGGAAGATGACCTCAGCGGTGTCTATCCTCTAGACTTGGTCCATTTTGTTTCTAGTGTGCAAGTGCCATTATGAGTATTGAAAATGATGGTAATGATATTTTCAATTGTTGAAAAGATGGAGTCTTTCAAATTCAGTTTTTATTATGTGCCTTTACGATGATGACTGTGGTCAATTGTGTACTCCCGGTCTCTTAAAAGTATGTTTACCTTTTTAGCTCTATAAAACTATCAGTTTCTAATAAATCTTTGTTTCCTTATCTGGCTGGAGCGTGCTGATTTTTTAGTTTTTGTTTTTCAAGGCCTTATTTCTCTATAAGTATATATGTATAATACTTAATGTCATAAATGAAGGTGATTTATCCAAAAATAAGTTTGATACAGGCCTGTGTTTTGATGTTACATTGGTGTTTGAAGACCTAGTTTAAGATAAGTTGATTGTCATCCTGTTTAAAACTCTAGCTGTCTCTTCACTTAGATCACGTAACAGTTAACAGTTTTGCTTGTTCATTGAACAGTATTACAGCATGATTTCTTCTGTGTAAGCTGCATGACAGGACTCTCAACAAGCAGGACAAACATACTTGCTTGTATTACTGTTTCTCTTGCTTTGATGTTCATCTTTCTTGTTAGTTGAAGGATCAAAATAAAATCTTTTCAAGGTAATTGACTTAATTTACTCTGCTTGTGTAGCATGGCTATCCTACTAAAGGCATACTCAGTAGCCAGCTCTGACAACTCCTAAGGAGTTTTTCATATCAATCCTTCAAATGTTAAAGATAATTGAAAATTAATTAGGGAGGCTTTTCTTGTCTCTGATTCCTGCAAATACACTTCTTGAACATAAGATTTAGAAGTTCCTTTTAAAGACAAGAAGTGGATGCACGGTGTTTGATTCTTGACTTAATGAACAATCTGACATGCAATTCTACTTGAGGCACGGATGCTTTTAACTGGAAATCCTCTGCAATTGGAAAGGCTGGACTGTGAATGATCTCTCTCACAGTGGCTAAGTGCTCTTGAGGACGTCAGATGGTCCCCTCCATCCCTCTGTAAAGAAACTGCTACCAAATTTATCACAGATATTTAAATATTGCTATCAAGTTAGCCTGTTGGGAAACTGAATTCTGCAGTGTTTTTATCAAAACCTGGACCTTTTTGATGTATAGGAATTATTATGTAGGCAGCATGTATGAAATGTGTCTTTTGAAACAGGTCAGATTTGCAATGCATGTAGTACTATTATTTCTAACTGCTTGCAACTATGTGCAGCTTGTGTTAAAGTAACACCGAGGCAGCAAAAACATGTGGACAGTCAGTATGTTTAGGGCAGCATACATCTTTCCCTTATAAAAATATTTTTATTATCATTTTGAAGTTTGTTGTTGTTGTGTTGGCCAAGGAAACAGAATACTAAACAAGTATCTCAACTGTTTCTTCAAGTTCATTTAGTTTTTACGATATTCCACCAAGGTATTTTCATAATTTATTGAAATTGTATGTTCCCATAGCATATTTTGAGTTCTTAAATGAGTGGTGATGGATTTGTAGGCTGCTGACCACTTTTGTCCCTTGCCTTAAAAAGTTTAGTCTGAAACTTGTGAAATTCTACAGTTCAGAAAAATCTTTCACATTTCTTCTGTATCTTATCTTTTGCTCGGTGTTTAATATTTTTCAGAATGTATGCAAAAATGATGCTTGTCAAACATATGAACACTATTGCCATACAACTGGCTACTGCCTCTTTAGTTAAAGAAACTGAGGCATGAAGAGGCTGTAAATCATGTAGTGACACCAGTAAGTTGTTAAAGAGGTTCAGGAATTGTGTGTCCACATCCAACCTGATCACTAATAACGGTTAGCTTTCCTGGGGTGTTCCTTTAGCAGACAATATACAGTGCAGTTCATGATAAAAATTGTGTTCTGGCAACTACTTAAATGTGTGAATATTGTACACCTCAGCTCTTAGTCATTTAGTCTGTTTTGCAGACTAAATCCAGAATGTTTTTGTTCCCTTTAGCCTCATGTAAAGCAGAAGATTTGGTGCCCATTCCGTTGAAGCAGGTATAGGCAAAAGACATGAAGTTGAAAGGTGGGAAAAAAGGTAGATGAACTTTGGAATGAGTACTCCTGCAGTCTTCAACTAAGCCTTTTGCTAACATATTTGACCTGTAGTTTAGCTCTTGCTAAAGCGCTGATGTGGAAGTGCGTTTTCTCTGTCTAAAGCAAATGCCATATGTTTTGTAATTGTTACTAGCTTGTGTAGTGCATGAACCAGTCTCTCCAGGGAGAGCCTTAACAGCCGGTGTTTTGGCTGTGTTAGGCGGAAATGTGCAGATTCAGACTGAGTTCGAGCAGTGCCATCTTCTGGCGCGCTGTAACACTGATTTGTAAGGGGGAATGGCTTTTCTAGACTGTTTGGGTTCATTTCTTGGAGTTATCTTTACAGCAAAGCAAAAAGTTTTTAACGGTGCAGGGTAGGTCCATTTGTCTTTTTAGTGGTGGTTGTGGCACTCTGACCTAATGCAATGTGTGGGAGCAGTGGACTCTTGTGGGAATTACAGAAAGCAAGAATCATCATCTCTGCTTTGGTAAGGTATTGGAAGAATCTATACTGTGTATCGACACAGCTATTTTTATTTTTAATAAAACCTATTTGAAACAGAAGATAGAGTCTCTATAATTATTTTTTTAATTCTCTTTTTTTTTCTTTCATAAAATGATTTTGTGTGTCAAGATCCTTTAGTTATGCTAGTGTGGAGGGTAAAGGGGTAAAGGTTCTGTAACCATTCTTATTAGCATATTGCTAAACGAATGGTTGATGTGAAACTGATTGATTCTTTTTGAAGAGTAAAAATGCTATTCTGTATTTCAGTATTTCCTAAGTATGCTGCTATCAAGGTCTGTACTGAGAGAACTGTGTTTGCATTTCACAGTGTTAAAACACCACCTAACTGAGCACAGGGAGAACATTGCTTGCTGATGTTATGGATCTCCCCACTACATCATGGTGCAGCCACTGATATGTTTTGTGGACATAGCTGCTATGCTCTACCAAGCTAAGCCAGTCTGGACATAGTCCAGCTAGCTCCATCACTGTCCCATTCATTTTCATTTTTAGACTCCTTAACAGAACCCCTTCTGTTTATTCTACAACCTGTGATTTTGACACACCTCCAGGCTCCTTGTTCTCTGCT